CATTGTAGTGGAATTTTAATAAAAAATTTGTATGGATAAATTTTACTTAGGAAGATATGTAATAATAACAACTTCAAACTTGAAAATGTCTTATTATTTGAACAATTAATTACAGAACCTAAGGAACCAAAAGATGTATGCAAGTTTGTTTAAACAATTTAAGAAGATTAACAAACAGAGAAATCAATATATTATATATACATATAAACAACATGTACATACTATTATGTAGTAAAGCAAACAAATTCAAAAACATACTATCATACAGTGTTATATATATTTTCTAATTATCTGTTCTTATTTAAAGATATTTGATTTAGTAGTGTATATTCTACTTTTAAGTGTTTCATAGTTATAAATTGTTATCACATCATATAGTTACAATGAAATTATACTGTATGATTTTACCAGGATATTAATATGTTCAATACTCACTGAATGAATGATGCACTTGCTTATACTAACTTACTTCATAAAATGAATAATGTAACTTACACGATATGCCCACATTTCACATGTTCACATTAGTTTGCTGTAATTGATTAAATTATCAAAATACAATATTCATTAAATCAATTAAAAAATTTGATTATAAAGAATTTCTTTGAGGCACACGTGTACAATATATTGTTGTAATATATTCTACTTTTCAATATAGAAAATAAATAATATAGCTATTATACTTTGTAATTTTCTAATATACTGTCTTTTTGCACATACAACTAGAAGACTACCTTAAGAAGTGTCCATTGATAAACTATGCTCCTATACAACATATCAAATTAAACATAAACATCTGTTATAATTAACAGCTAACTTAAATACTGACAGAATTTAATTTCTAAACACATTATTATATACATGAAATTATATAAATCTGTTTGCAAAATTGTATGTAATTAAATGTTTTAAAGTGTTATATAATTACAATCATATTACACACTAAAATGTATATTTTCACAATGCATAAAATAGATATAAGAAATATTTTTTACACTCTATAACATGCTGAATTGATATTTAATTTCTAGAACCAGCACCACATACCAATACCCCCTTCGTTTTCCTCGAGTATTTAATATTTTTTATATTCCTATATATCAAAAGCATGAAGATACCACACTGCTACTTGAATATTTGCATAATTGAAATGCATGCGCACAAATTACCCTTGTTCCAATTGCGTTGTAGAGATTTGACTCCCTAAGTTAATTTGCTGTGAAAATATAGCTTGCCCGCTGTTTTGTGGTGCAGTGGTATAAGTCAAAAGTTGCTGAGAACCATTACCACCATTATTTATGTCTTCAACAACTAATTGTACACTTTGCCCCTCTGCAGAGTAAATTCTCTGTACTTCTTCAAGTGTTAATGTACCACTGTCATTGGTCACAAAATTATAATACTGTGCCATATTATTCAAGACTTAAACACTTGCAAATATGATCTTTTGTCAATCAATATAGATCAAACTGATCAATATTGCTACTATACCGGATTACACCAGTCCATCAATATCATATCTGTAGAACAACGAATTAGTATCTCCACAATAAGACCTATTAAAAATAATTTAAGATTACTCATGATTTTTAATATATGTTTATATGTCAGACTCTAAAATTTCATAGATGAAGGAAAGTAAAATATATAAACAAACTTAAAAACTAAAATTAATTAAACTATTAATAC